TTCCATAGGAATGGGATCATCAAAAAACTTGGATTTGGAATCTCCTCATATCTGCCACTCAGCAGAGCTGGCATTGTGGGGAATTTTGATTTGAACATTTGAACACAAGCAGGCCAAAACTTCTAATTACAAGCTTCAAGGTATCATTATTAAATATAGCTATTCTAATTTAAATCAAAATTCTGTCTTTCATACAATTAATCAGGGATGGTGAAGAAGTCCATGACATTGACAGCAATATGAACAAATGCTATGGACATTCACCTATGAGGGAGCAACTTGGGAGATGCTCTTGGAACAGATTGCCAATTCCTTATCCCACATGTCTTCAGAATCATACAATAGAGATGGAATCATACCATGAGTATGGAACCATACCATACCATGGGCATGGAATCATACCATGGGGTGGAATCATACCATACCATGGGCATGGAATCATACCATGGGGGTGGAATCATACCATACCATGGAAATGGAATCATACCATGGGGGTGGAATCATACCATACCATGGAAATGGAATCATACCATGAGCATGGAATCATACCATACCATGGGAATGGGATCATACCATACCATACAGAGATTTGCTTACAACACCCCATACCATACCATGGTATTGCACCCTTATACCACCATGGTACTCCACTCCCATACCATACCATGTTGTTTGATGTTTGAGGTGCTGTTCTCAGGATCCAGTGTGAATTTCTAAATATGGAAGGTGTGGCTATGCTCAATGAAAAAGAGATTGATGGGATAGATGCTTAAAATATCACAGGAACCATAATCTATGCAGAGGAAGGCAGAAAACCCTCATTTCGAAGTTTGTTTACATATATTCACCAATAGCTTTAACCAAAGTAAGGCTACAAAAATTGTAGTGTCCGCTTTTTTCATTAGAAAAGACAAGCTTAGTTAGAAAACTTTGTAGTGTGCGCTTTGATGTGCGCACTATTTCCTCATTGGGCCATTTCCTAATTGGGAAAAGCATTACACTTTTTTCTGCCACACCTAATGTCAGGCACAGTGCGCATTTAGGTTGGGAACTGTTTCCCACGCTCTTTGGGCCACAAGAGTTAGTGGCTAGCTTAGTGTTGTCATTGTTAATGACGATGTGCGCACTATTTCCTAATTGGGCCATTTCCTAATCAGGAAAAGCGTTACACTTTTTTCTGCCACACCTAATGTCAGGCACAGTGCGCATTTAGGTTGGGAACTGTTTCCCACGCTCTTTGGGCCACAAGAGTTAGTGGCTAGCTTAGTGTTGTCATTGTTCATGACGATGTTCGCATATTTCCCAATTGGGAAAGTCATTACATAATACCACTTCAGTTTGTAGTCTCCGCTTTTTTAGACTACGAAAGTTTGTAGTGTGCGCTTTTTTCATTACAAATGTTTGTAGTGTTCTGTGTGTTCACAACAAAATTACTAGTGTGCGCTTTTTTAGACTACAAAAGTTTGTAGTGTGCGCTTTTTTCATTACAAATGTTTGTAGTGTTCTGCTTGTGTTCACTACAAAATTACTAGTGTGCGCTTTTTTAGACTACAAAAGTTTGTAGTGTGCGCTTTTTTCATTACAAATGTTTGTAGTGTTCTGCTTGTGTTCACTACAAAATTACTAGTGTGCGCTTTTTTCATTACAAATGTTTGTAGTGTTCTGCTTGTGTTCACTACAAAATTACTAGTGTGCGCTTTTTTAGACTACAAAAGTTTGTAGTGTGCGCTTTTTTCATTACAAAGGTTTGTAGTCTTCTGGTTGTGTTAATGACAAAGTTTGTAGTGTGCATTTTTTGGACTACAAAAGTTTGTAGTCTTCGCTTTTTTCATTACAAAGGCTTGTAGTGTGCGCTTTTTTCATTATAAAAGTTTGTAGTGTCTGCTTTTTCATTACAAAAGTTTGTGGTCTGCTTTTCTGATATGTTGTAGTCTCCTATTATCTATGTAGGTATATGGGGGTAGACCTGATGTTTCAGGCAAACTGAGATTGTCTTAAGAGAGGACATGTTAAGGTTGGCTATGGTCAGACATAGTTGAGTCCCCAGATATATGGAAAGAATGAGCCATAGAACCATTATAAGCTGAAGAATTATTACTTTATACAAGTGGCTCTCGGCTGCACCTTCCCAAATGAGCCTCGGCAAACGCCGATGCTTGATTTAGTGCCATCAACAAACCCTCAACCCTCTTCTTCCTCAACTACAACCATCCTCCACAATGACCCCCCCCCCCTCCTCACCACATCGCCTACGACGGACGACGACAACCACAGACGACAACGACCATGGACGACACAACACGACCACTGAATGGCGAACGTGGCCCACCATCGGCACCCACGCACCCATGAATGCCCACAACAGCCCATCACCACCCCCCACCAATGGCGATGAGGAGCCACCAGCACCAGCACCACCCACTAACAACGACGACGGCCCACCAGCAGCAGCCACCGCCATCCACGACACAACCAGAACGGCACGGTAACACCACATCACCAGTCCCCGCAAACAAACAAGCGCCCACCAGATCGTGACGACGACGATGCGGCATGTCAGTGGATGTGCCTCCTCATCTGACGGTGATGACACACGACATCGTTGCCATCCACATCAGGTATGGTAAGTACCCCCCGTCCCTCTTCATCCCAACCAGCTCACGACGACCCAGGACGACAACGTCCACAGCCCATCACCACCTCCCATGAGGACTCCCCACTACCCAACGGCACAACACGACACCATGAGACAACAACGGCACAATGACAACGGTACGCACGGACAACACAATGAGACACAACGGCGACGAGGACCACCCAGCAACGGCAATGACGGCCCAGCACGACCCCCCCCAGCAACAGCAACGACGGCCTAGCACCACCACCCAATGGCACGAACCACAACCACATACAAACGGATGACGCCGACGACACACCACGTCGACAACAACAACACACAACGACAATGACAACACGACGCAATGCGATGCGGAAATGACCACCCATGTATGAAGACGATTGCCCACAACGACGAACGGCATTGTGGCCTTTGTCGTTCCCACAGCACTCCCTCCCCCCTCCCTCCCTCACTCCCCCTCCATCACTCACTCCCCCTCCATCACTCCACTCCCTCCCCCCTCCATCACTGCACTCCCTCCCCTCTCTCACTCCCCACCATACCTCCCTCCCCTCTCTCACTCCCCCCATACCCTCCCTCTCCCTTAGATTAGTTCAATACTTTTTGTAATAGTTATCAATACAATATGTATGGTCAATCATCACTTTTGTATGAAATTCTAAGGTCTAAGTTACACAAAGTGGTTAGGTAATGGGTGGAGGAGTGATAAATATTGGTTATTCAGGGATTGAAGTTGGAATGTGTTGGAATGAAGTTGGAATGTGTTGGAATTCCACTTGGAATCCAGCAGAATCTGAGATTCCTACAATTCTGGCGGATTCCGAGATTCCTGTGGATTCTGGCGGATTCCAAATGGAATTCCAACACTCCACCGGATTCCGCCGGAACTCATGTGGGAGGGTAAAGTACAGCATTCCATATGGAATGGTGTTGGAGTCCATATGGAATTAATCATTCCATGATCATTCCATGATCATTCCAGCATCATTCCATATGGAATCCATGATGTCCATGGAATCAGAAACTGGCTGTGTCCTCAGCCAACATTGATTCCATGGATTCCACATGGATTCCATATGGATTATACCAGGGAAGGTAAAGACCTCAAAGCATCCCATAAATGTTTCGGGAAAATGCAAAATGTCCAAACCAATAACTTGATTATCCAGTACTTTAAAGTGCCCCACCTATTCCTGGAAACAAAAGGTTAAGGGACGAAAGGGCAAGGGTACAGTCAACAGAAAGGGAAAAAAGGGAAAGAAGTCCACCAAGATGGTCAACCATTCTGGAGAAGAATTCGATCTTCTGGTGATGGATGACTTGGTCCTTTCTGATGATGACCTCCCCCTTCCAAATAGCTTAGACCATACAGCCGGACGTGGCATGGGATCTGGGGGGATGGGCATGAAAGGCCTGTGGGTGGGTGGAACCACTGTTATGAAGGGCGTGCAGATGGCTGGAACCAATGTGGTAGGTACAACTGATGGTGCACACTCCACAACCATAGCCTATACCCTCATTGATCTGTAATGTGCCTGTTGAAGAGGTTCCAAAACGTGTATTGGAACCATCCAACAATCCAGAGGGCCAGGACATCCAGAAGAAAGATGGCCCACCCAAAAAGAGGGCCCAGACCGGTGGGAAACCAACCCCAGCCAAACCCACCAGAAGCAGCGCCTGTACCAATGCCCCTGGTTTGTCCATCCCTTGACTAGATCGAAGGCAAAGCACGGGGGTAAACACAAATAGTCCAGCCCAACATCGGACCTTTTACTTACTGGAACTTACATTGGAGCTTTAGCAGACCATTAGTACTTGACAATAAAATCTGGATCTAATCTTTGCAATAACTCTGTAGGAAGCTGGACGAGCTGGATCTTTTCCTGCAGGAATGGGATTCCAGTCCAATCTCTTTATTTTATTTATTTGTTACTCTCTTATAGTTTATTTATTTTCGATGGATCACAAACAATGTTTGTTTGGTGAACATGCTCACCAAACATGGCCACTCTCTTCTTCCACCACCACCACCATGCTCGTCACCGCCGCCAACGCCACGCCATCACCGTCACCCATAGCCACCACCACCAACGTCGCTCCTCGATCACCCATGGCCACCACAACCAGTAATTTACAGTGCCCCACCCATTCCTGCAGGAATCCACAGGAATCCGGAGGAATAGCACCGGAATCCGCAGGAATAGCACCATAATCTGCAGGAATCCACAGGAATCCGGAGGAATAGCACCGGAATCCGCAGGAATAGCACCAGAATCTGCAGGAATCCACAGGAATGGGACCAGAATACAACCAATACATCACCTTTCCTTTTTGCTAGATACATTTACACTAATATGCACTTCTTCACACTGACTTAAAGGGTATGAACACTTTCTTATAACATTTATATATTAAATTTTATATATTAAAACTCAAATCTACATCTAATTTACTATTTTCTAAGTTAAATGAAGGGGCAGGAAGAGAGGGGGGGAGGAAGGGAGGGAGG